AACACTACCTATAGGCTATAGCAATACAATCATTTCTGTTATTTTTCTTGACAAAATAATTGTGTAGGTATCTATAATATAGATATATTTTAGAAGATCATAGATGGGTTTTATATTATCATAATAATAATAATAATACATAATCATAATAATTATTGATACCAAATGAAAATTACAGAAATGTTTAAAGCAGATAAAAAGTTAATACTTGATTCTGTTTTCAAAAGCAAAGCCTGTATGATCTTAAATGGCTATTCGATACATGAAAAATAATATTTGTTTTTTTTTTTTTTATTAAAGAAAAGAAAATGCCTCAATAGCGTGACCATTGGCTTGTTGAATAATATTTATTAAATTATCAATTGAGATATAAATTAAAATGGGTGTACCCATACACCGTATACATTGCCGTAAAAGTTTAGTAAAATTGTTTATTATAACTCAGGAAATTAGAATGAACGCAGTCACCCTTTACAATATGCGGCTCACAAACTAATTAAAAAAGCAGATTAATTTTTTTAAAACCGAGTCAAGTTAATGTTTTTTTCCATTCTAACTTTTAACTTATCGAGTTGATCAGTTTCATCAACTCGCCGACCTTTGTAATACCCGTATAATTTAGTGCGTTATGTATACATATACATGTAGATACACATGCATATAATATTATGTAATTTCTTTGATTGCATTCAGACGTCAAAATATATAATACGACATAGAAACGCTGCTGCAGTAACCTCTCCAGCCGACGACATTATAATGCCGGAACAGTTTTTCTCACGGGTAGTCTTTCGTCGTGCATATATGCGGTGTTTATAAAGATTAAGTATGCGTAAAAAATAGAAAAAGAAGAGTAAATGACGCGTTAAACGTTTTAATAGTTGTGTTATAATTTGTTGTATTTTTTTCCTTCTTATTATTATCATTATTATTCGCCGTCGTCCGACCGACATATATATATATATGATGAATATTATTGTTTGTAGATACATGCCGCGAAACAGTTGGCAGAGGGTAGCTGCGCGAACGTTTAAAAAAATACGAAACGTTATTATAATATTTTTTATTATTTTTGTCATCATATATAATATTGTGTGCACGCGGCCATGCAGGCCGCCCCTCAGAATATACCCTATACACACAATAATAATAATAATAAATATAATCTCGAATAATGCCCACAATATATATTATATTATGCATACGTCATTATCATCATCACTATACTTTATAAATTACTAGTTATATATTGTTACTATCATTACTGTTATTAAATACAGCTAGCTGCTAGCCGGTATAGGTACAGCTCATACATTTTGGTCGAAAGACAGGTATATTATAATATTATGGAGACACCAAAAACCAGTTGCTCGGACCGAAACTCCCACGAAACGTGCGGCCGGTTGCATGTCGAAATTGGTTTTTCTTCAATTTTTTTCTTCATTTTTTTTCTGTTCGTTTATTTTGTTTTGTTTACGGTGGTACACGCTAATTGTCGGGTACGCGCACGTACGTCGTCTCCGAACACGCGACCAGAAATCTCCGAAAAACGTATCGTTTAACAGCCATCTCCGCGTACAGATGGGTACGCGTCAAAGTCGACGGATGAAGGGGTGAAGGGTGAGGGGGAATGGAAAATAACACACGTACGCGCCAGGGGTAGTATTGTTATATTGCAGGATCGTGTGTGACGTGATACCTAGCTATATGTGATATCCGCCAAGACCGTGAAAACCACGTGTGGAATTCAATTATAAGTTTAAACGTCGGCGTAGGTGCACACTGTACGTACATATATATGTATAAGACATATAAGTACAAATTATATCGCGTCTATATGTACATATATAATATGGTATATAATGTCATAATAATATCGAAAGTCTTCATCGCGTTCGAATGCTGCAGCAGTAGGTATATATAATTTATATCCACACATGATGGGGTGCCTATATATAGTACATGACGCCCATATGAGGTAAATTGAGATTCGTCGGAAAAATCGTTATTATTCCTACAGATTGTAAGTTTGCGGATAGGTTAGCTGTACATAATATTATGTAATCGTTAAAGTATATAATATCTACACAATATAGTAAAGCGACAAGATTTTTTTTCGAATAATATACGTTTTATTAATATTATATTATTATATAACGCTGAACTGCAGTAATATTATAATATATAATAATAGTAATAATATGCACATCTATGCATATAATCGCCTCGGTTTGGATTTTTCTTGTCACTGCAATAAAAAATTCTACATTTAAATAGTGGTTTTACTGTTACTATATTTTTTCGGCGCCCTGAGCCCGCGATTATACGTCAGTTCGATTAACACATCAAATGTACGATTGTATAACTATATACCAATCGTACAAATAATTTACTCTTTCTTTAATTGGTTGTCTACCTTACTGCTGTCATTTTTCGAACAACTACTCGACGAAACTATTGCAATTAATTAATTTTTTTTTTTTGATAAATATTATACTATAAGACAGACAGCAGTGAGCTGATATTATAATAATATAGTGATGCGCCAACCGCGTGAAAATGGTTGAGAGACTTAAACGCACGGGCTGCGTGGTTTGTAATTTATTGTTTGTTGCGATGGTATTAATAATATAATATATAAATTAATGGATGTTAAATATATTTATAAAACATTTAATGGCAAGTATGTGGATCAATAGATAGATTTCTGTATTTTTTGAACAATTTCTATGTGTTTTAATATAATACAAACAATTTAAAGTGCGATTGGGCAAAATATAGTTAAGCCCGAAGCCGTCGCCTGTCGTACGTTGCATAATATGCAACAGTATACTTTAAATAGCATAGGTACTGTCTATATTATTATTATCAAATTACTATAAATATATAAAATGTACCTATATTGTTTTATACTCTTACAATTTACAAAGTCTTCTTGTTCGAAAACATGTTCAATGTTATTTCATTGTATTATTTTAGTTATCAATATTGTATTATAATATATTGTAAATTATAATAGTTGCCATACGTGACCCGCAGCGATAATAATATATTTTTATACAATGTGTACATTTTTTGTTATAATTCTTGTTTATTATTACCATTATTATTATATATTTTTTATTATAGGTACCTACCACTTTTATAACACTTAATTGACGAGTTTCATACAAATGAATGAATAAAAAGTTGACTTAGACATGTGTAGTGCGGACCCTACAACAATAATATAGTGCTTCTACACAATAGTTATTAAAATGTATAATATTATATGTTCGGTGTGCATATATATTATATAAAAATTATTATTATATATTATAAGTTATAACATACAAGGACGTTTAAATTGTATACTCTATAAAAATGATGAGTTGAATTCGGTGTTCCTGTATGCAGTATTCCCCTGTCTCCGGCATTATACCTATACTTAAACGCATAATACTTTTTATTTTTTTACCCTGTAAACCTACATTTCTCCGGAAACTAACCATATTTGGAACGAAATTAAACTATTAATGTTATTTTTTTATTACTGTTAATCCTGATGGTCGAACTATTTTTATAGTTCTTTACTGCTATAGTTCCTTTTTCCTTTCTTCAGTTTGTTCAATATTTTCAAAAACATATTCGTTAAAGACTGGGATATAATCTCCTCCGTTATTTTACATTTTGTCGATCAATATTCTTGATTTTTGCAATTTGCAATATTGCATTACTTTTTTATTCTAAAGATTACATAGTTATACTGTAAATAACAAATAGAAAAAATGCATATTAATATATTACTTTATAAACTCCGACCAGCTGTAACGAGCTGCAGTGAGTATATATATGTTACAGTTTTCTCTAAGTCAGAGCAAGTCGTTACACCTTATTTACTCTGCAGTGAAGTCAAATATTTTGTTTTTTTATCTATACCTGTTAAACGTGTTCATATATTTATATTTTTATAAAGTAAGCCAAGAGACAATTCTTTAAAATTAATTCAAGTCCATCCTGATAAAATATTTAATTAAGAAAAATTGATAAAACTAATAATGTCGAAATCGTCACAATACGATGAGTATACTATAGTAATTCGTTAATTCAATAACAAAAGTACATTAAATAGGTAGGTACATAAAATTTTATTAGAACTAATAAAGATCTTAGTTATAGTAACAAAGTTCTATTTTAATCGGTTTATAATTGTATACGGTAAACCATTTCGTTTAATCTACAATAATATTATAATATGTTACTTAACAAAGTGTTCGTTTAACGAAATTCACATGCTCATATCAATAACAATTTTATGGAACGTATATAAACGATGATTTTATTGGATCAATCTATGCATAAATATATTATATAATATTCTCATCGAGACTACGAGTATTTTCCGTTCAGTGATAACGACGACTAACGACCCCCCACACGCTCTTCAAATATAGGTACACTATTACGACATTTTATGGCACACTGCAGGTTCATCGCAGCTCGTTTTACGTTATTAGCTGCAGCTCTGGCCCAAACTCTACCTACCTGTTGCATGTTTATCACCAAATAAATATACTATACAGTCCATCGTGCACGCCGCTCTGCACATTCGACAGCAATACATTTAGATACTATTTTTAGGATTTGCGTCTTCGTCGGAATTGGTCGGATGCGAAACTGGCAATTTTCCGTTGGCTTAATTGAATATTTACATATTATTCGATGTATACATATAATCTCTACCTACGCTCCGATATTTTTTTTTTCACGCGGTCGTAAAAATATATTATTAGGTACTTTTGCGCCTGTCCGTAATCAACACTGTACCATATGGTTATATGTATAGCAACTTGTGTCGCAGTTAGTTTTTTATAATTTTCTAAATTCGTATCTAAAATCTGCATAGGTATTTTTTTTTTTTTACCGTACAAGAGGACAGCACAGACGGTATAAAAAAAAAATGTGTTTTTCTTCTATTTTTTAAATACCCGCGATAACACCTTTGGTGGCAAGTACATATATATGACCTATATGTATACACATTACACGTAGAATCGGTGTGTTTACATATATTATATTACAAACTTTTATGGGTATTTTCTCGTATGGTCTCGTGATTTCCAGACACCGGCCCAATCATCGTTAATTTGATGTAATATAGAGGCGGCGCAGGGGCGCGTTGGCGTGAACTGGCAGAGTCCTAAAACAGTATATGCAGGCTAGCTCTATTAATATTATAATATATTATTATCATGCTATTATAACGAGCCAACGGCCTACACCGAAAACATCGAGTTACGTGTATTATGTAGGTATACGATAAAAATTATAATTTCGACAATTATTATTATTATTATTATCATCAAACCTGTTGCACTGCTCGTCGGAAACAAAATATCGCGCTGGATGCGAGTCGAGATCGTATCTATTGCGCGCGAGCAACGACAACGGTTCCAATAGTCGTGTTATAATATTATATACAAATATTTGTGTATTATACTTAATATTGTACGTGTGATAAATGTTTTTTTTGTGTTTTCGTATAAATATAAAATATATACCTCTATGGGTATATACGAACCGCAGAGAGGGCAACGGTCATGGCGATGTGTATAATAAATACTAAGTATGCTGCAGTTCTACTTACATGGAGGTACATATATGGGCACGCGACAAATGATCGTAATATTATCATCATCATCATCATCATCATCATCATCATCATCATCATCATCATTACTGCCACGGTGTGCAAGAACGACGGTGATGGAGAACGGTTGTGGTTTTGTCAACGTTTTGAAACAATTGCGCTTAGCAGCTTGTACGCTTTCATACTATTATATGGTTTGTTTCTTTTAATAAAACAGTTAATACGCTCTTGGACGATTTAAAGTACACGAAAATGTGATAAATTTTAATGTAACTGTATTGCCCTTGTCGTTTTCACCATTGTGAACCGATCATAAAATTTTATTTTTTAAACCTATATCCAGACACAAAGGAAAACGATGTTTTAGTATTTGAAACTGCAGTTTAATGCGTGTTCGTGAAATAATGTCAAACACTAAAATAATAATATCGGCCTGCACAGTAGGACCATACACTATTATAATAACTATAAACGACAACAAGATCGAATCGATAAATCCAAATTTATACATCATTGTAGCTATTATGAACGCGAACACAAAAACGATTTTAAGTCGTTATTAAAAACAGGTCACTCACCCAGGCACCGAAAGTGTATAAAATGTTTGCACGCAAATCGCATTATACCCACGTGTATAGGTACAATATATGGTAGGTATATATCATTACGATGCGCACACATAGACATTTGGAGTTGTCTTAAGTACAAAATATGTTCTCAGTGTCAAACACATTCGCACGTCGATTTTCGCTTATACTTCGGCTTCGCAGTTGGCTTAACATTATCATAATGATGTTCGCACCGTAATTGTTTTAATGTAGACTCTGTTTGGGGTTCGGACAGCACCAGATTTTGTTTTAAAAAAATTTTAATTTTTAATTTTATGGTTGTTTAATGTTGTTATAACATTATTTACTTTTGAAACGACTGTCATCATTAATAAGGTATGGTTAACAACAAGCAATCTTAAAAACATTGTAATTCTAAGTATCAACTTTCCAGCCAACGAGTTTTGAGCACTCAACCGCCAACTTCAATTATCTTTACCTCATAACTAGGGTTTGTAGCTCCACAAAATCACTAAATATGCATGCACTTATGCACTTAAGAGTGCAACATTAGTAGCTTAAAAAATATACCTATATAATACATGCATAATATTATGCACGTGGCGATGCGATTATAATAATATTACAGTTTAGTCTTCAAATAAAGTATTCAACAAAGCGCTTGTTTTCGCGGTCGCGATTCGTGTACATATATATACCCACATAGGACATGAGGTTGGGCGCGCTATCATTCATGACAAAAATTAAGGAAATTAAATCGAATTCAATTGATCGAAAATAACAAAAAAAAATTCTAATTAAAAAAAAAAGAAAAAAAATCGAACACGACCTCGATCGCCGATCGATTGAAATTGGTATGGACACACCACTGTGCATATTATATACCTATAAATATTGTACCGTACACGTTATTATACGCCGCTGCGATATTCGTGTTACGACCAAAAGGTTTTTCGCAATTATTTTACGTATCTCGTTATGGTCTACGACGATTTACAATATCGCGGCGAACGGTACCGGCCGTTTCCAACAACAATAATATATTATGTTGTGTGCACTGTGATTAAGTACCAATAATATAGTCATAACTATATTTTACACGAGGCGAATTATTGTTGTACGATAAATTTAATCAGTTGCACAACTATAATCATAACACTAGAGCTCGGTGTAAAGAAGACGCGTTTTCAATAAAAAAAAAAAATAATAATAATAAACTAATATTACAGTGGTCGTGTTACAGCGGATCTGGTAGACCGTTGCAGCAAGAATGCGGGAGGAGACGGGCCGATCGTTATAATAATAATAGGCAATATTAATTAATATTTTCACTATCGATACGACGATGTAGTATAATATATTATTATTACGGTGGGATGTTGTTTATATTTCGGTATATTATTATAAAAAACGATTGACGTCTCGCTGCGCGCGCGTACGTACAATACTATGTCATGATGATAGGTGATGCACCCGGTGCACTTCCGAGTCAGGGACTGCAGCAAAAGCGCACCACGGACAAACGAGTCATTATTACAATATCGTATCTTTATTCGTTCGCGTGGTACCTACCCGTATGCATAATGTATGCGTTAAAGTCTCTTACGGTCTCGAGCATTTCTCGATACACTCGTCTCGTCGTTTATAGTAGAAACGTAAAAATAAAATAAATTATCGTGCAGGAATTATATTCATTATAATATTATGGACGGCCACGGGACACGAAATATTATTGGGTTCAGCGCAGGTTACCACTTACCTGGTGCAGTTGTCTCTCTCGGCCAGACTGCTTCGTAGAATATAACGCACGTACGATTACGACGACGACGACGTACCTACCTGATATATTATGTACCTGTGTTAAGTTTCAAAATGTTAACGCTTAAAAAACGCGTTTTCACGGACCACACCAAAAGTTCGAGGGGGGTCCGAAGTAGTATCACAATAATTATTATTATTATTATGTGTAATGACGGACGCGTGAGCACAGCGCCGACCAACAAATTTATTATGTTATAATATTATACGTAGTTACGTTAACACTGCACTAATGTGCGTGTCTTGTAAAACCCTGTCAAAAGTCACACTGTTAGCTTAGTCGTTTTTTATTTAGTTACATTTTTTTTTTAAAAAAAACGCGAAAGCAAAAAAACGAAAATAATAGTTGTCACTTCTGTGCGTTTATAATATTATAATTTCAAAGTTTGTGTTGGTCACAACTCGTTCAACCCAATCGTCTACCATTTTAAACACCTGAGTATAGATGATATAATATTATGTGGTTATTGGCTTTTAAAAGATAAAATATTTTCAATACCTAATCACCTATTTATTAGATATTATGAGTAAATATTATACTCGTCGAAATTTCATTCGAAAGTTTCACGAAGCCGTCGGAGCCCGCAAATCGTATAATTTATTTTTGAAATTTGTTTCGCGTGAAAGTAGATGACAATTTTTTTTACATAATACGAAAGTCAACTGTAAATATCACATAAGCGATAATTTATCGTATTTTTTTGTTTTTATATATTTTTCATATTATAGGTATACCTATTATAGTTCGTACTCATAATTTCATGTTAAAATAAAATACGAAAACCACGATTTCTCGTCGGATGTTTTTTTTTTTTTTTTAATAATATGACCCGTGGCAGAATAATCGATTTAGCACCGTACAAAATAGCTAAAGTTGTTTGAAAGATTTAAATAAATTTGTTTAAAGATGTAATCGAAATTCAAACATTTTGTCTGCAAATTGAACGTCAGAAATAAATGACGTGTTAGTGATGGTCATACAAAATTCTTCGTTTTTTTATACTATTATATTCGTTTATTATTTCGTTTACACATTATTACATTATATTATTAGGTTTGGACGAACGTTATTAAACTGTTGGTCGATTATGCAGTCATTCTCTCTTCCCTCCCGCCACCCCCCCTCCCCTCACTACGGCCTAGACGAACGCCAGTTCTATGTCCACACGATTTTCTCAGTTATAATGCATATGAAACTAAAATATGAGTAATAACTATTAACCTACAATAACTACCTACCTACCTACCTACCTACCTACCTACCTACCATATAATAATATTATATCGACTGAATGGAAACGGCCGATTTCCACCATTCGCATCATAAATCACGCGTATAATATGCATTATACATTTTTTTTTCCCACTACACTATACGCGTCGTATTATCATCACGTCGGTCGATATAATTAATGACGAAGAAAATGTTGTGTCCACCCGCGTAGTCGTCGCCGTATACTATATATATGACGCATTTGGGCGCGGGCGAACGGAAGAGATAATATTATTATACAATACAATAATAATTGCTTCCAGACGATATGGTGTTTATTATTACTATATTATACGCCATTATTCGACGACAAACCTATCCACTGAAATATAATATTATAATACTATCGTGTGCTACCCGAGCTGCCATGCTTTCGGGAAATTGGCTTTTACTGCCGACCGAACACGGGTCGTCCGACTGAATTTTTTTAATCACAGCGACAGCCTTAATAGCTATTCGTAATATTAATTATTATTTTTATAACAACAGTCGTAAACAACTCGTAATAGAAATCGTATGTAACTATATAATACATGATATGTAAGTATATTATGTGTTATTGTGCGTCAGCATATTTTGTCGTTAAACGAAACGGTGAAAATAACAATTTATCAGGCAATACATTATTATAAAGACCTGAGAACAACTGCGTTAAACCTGTTCGCTTGATTGACAAGAGATCTGCCCATATTTTGAGCAAAATTAGTTTTCGATTGCATATTATTAAGAAGAACGAAAATTGCGACGTTTCGTGCAACAAACAGACAAATTCGATTGTTAAGTGCAACGATATCATACAAATGGATTTGTCTGATTTATCTTTTAGTGCTACAACAAGACGTCTTCAAAAGTTTTACTTTTTGCCTTTTGGTTTTGAGATCACACAAATTTGATTTTGACGATTTCGTCACCGAAGGCTACTTATACTTATACGAATTGAAATAATTGTCTCCTAAAAAATTGTATCAATTGGATAAGTCTTGTTGTTGCTATCAGGTTTTCATTTATACTTATATATATACTTATATATATACTTATATAATCAATTTTAAACTATAAATGTTCTTATATTTTTTATCAAACGTTGACATTTTGTCAAGCTTTCCAGGTTATTACGTCTGAAACAGAGCACTTTTTGGCCGACGATCATTTCAGGAAACCGTTCAAATCTTTAAGGAGAACTGCTGGTATGGAATCGGGAAATGTCTATTTCCACCTTTCAGACATCATACTGCACGAAAGACAACCGTAGGATTTGCGGACCAGGACTGTCGGACCAGGACGCCTATAGCCTGCATGAGGTGTTCTCGTTGGACCCCGACGACGGCGCAGTGCACTATACAATGTGCGGCAGACTGCGGTGCAGCCAGCAGTACCCCCTCGACGAAGCAAGAGGATCTGGTGCTCGACGGCGACGAATATGGCATGCAGCAGCAGCAGCCACTACAAGAGCAGGACAAGGATCGGCTATATTGAAGAAAATCAGCCCTGGCCGAAGGACCACAATCGCCGGAATCGCTGCCCTCGTCCACTTGTTCGTTCTATCGGTATAGGCCAGAGGTATTCAAACGTTTTCATCCCACGGCTCCTTTAAGTCTTCACAAAATGTTGACGGCTCCCAAATTTTAAATGACAAAAACATCAATGTTTATATGATTGTAATTTATATTTTATAATTTATTTACCATATTACATAAACAAAATAAATTAAAGCTATATTTTGCGAATGACTGTTGTACACAGTTCAACGTTTCCCAACCGGTGTGCCTCAATGATATTAGTAAACGTTTTTCGTAAAAATATTTATTGGTTTTCAATTATACTATGCGGCTCCCTTCGACAATTCCCTCGACGCCCCTGGGAGCCGCGACGCACAGTTTGAATACCTCTGGTATAGGCAATCCGCAGCCAGAACGATAAACTACTGCAGGACCGAGGGACTCGTATAATAGTATAGTTTAAGTGTACTAAAAAATGACCACCAAATAAAGCGAACGTCTCTCAATTGTATCGTTTTGGTGTCGATGGGACTTCAATGATAACGTCAACGAATGATAACGCAAAGAAAAAATAGAAAAAAAAATAACATTATCAACTGGGGCATGTCATATGAAAAAATGAATTATTACTGTATTATCGTGTACCTAACAATATAATGAAATGTATTATTTATATTATTTATAATACATTTCATTATACATATATTAATTTAAAAAAAATATAAATATTTAGTAAAAATATAAATGCATTATTTATTATCATTTTTACTTAAATACTTAAAAATTAGTCATTCAATGATGTTTCATTGTTAACAGGTCTTATTAATTTACAAGACTTTTGTATTTATAATATGTCGTTTACAATTTTATGATTAAAATTGAACTCTTTTTCGTACAAGTCATATAGACCTTTCTCGTCTCTCAACTCGGAAGGACTTTGAGGTTTTCCAGCGTCTGTTTCAGGGCTCGAGCTCACTTTTTGCAGTTTATTTTGTAGACGCTAAAAACGGACCAGTTATAAAATATTAAAATAGCCCTTGAACTGATGCTGTGTATATCTACTGTTCACAATAACCGAGGTAATAATTTACATAAATCAGTACACGCATCCGGTCGGAACATAGAATTTTCGATAACAATGTACAATTGTTAATAACATTAAACATGATTATAATAAGCTGCGATGTTCACTGGATATCCAAACGTCGGATTTTATATTATCCTATTAGATAATATATTTAAAGATTTTGGAAGACAAGGATAAGTGTAAATATAATGAAAATATCTAAATATATGCATGGACACTTTTCAGGTTGGCATCGGCTTAATATATTATAGCATTAATATTGACGCTAACAATTAAAAAAAAAAAACCAATAAAACATGATAACTAAAATAAAAAGGCGTGCAGCTATTCTCCCCCCAAAACCTAATCAGATATCAAATATCAATAATAAATTGATATAAAATAGAAATCAATTTCTAAGATTTCATCTAAATAACCCCCCCCCCCCCTTCGAAAAAAAAATTAAAATTAAAAATGTAAATCATTTCAATGCCTTTACCTAACTATATGTTTATCAATACTGCAGACACGGTGGTGTCCTTATCGCCGTTTCTCGACCGCAAAAACCGTCCATATCATTATGATTATACGATAAAATAAATAAATAATGATACGTAGATATACGATGTACAGCTACCTACTACGAGCTATTCCGTTTCGATTTCGAAAACCTGCACACGAAATTGTAAGTACGCATTAATATTATACACGAAGGTGGGTATTTAAGTCATTAAAATAATATTATTATTGCGGTCGTTTTAACTGCTCGTCTATTACCCGAATTAATTGGACAGTAAATACTCGTTGGTATCCACGTGTCTCTCAACACGCAGAAAACCGAATTCGAATAAAAATAATAATATTAATATTATAATATATTTTAATTTATATCATCATATAGTAGCTTTGTGTTCGCGAATGTATTATGCATAAATACTTGGAAAACGGGCAGTAAAATATTAAATATATGTGCCATAATAAAGCGATTTAAAAACGCTATGAACCTACCTCTATATTATATAATATATATAGTGTATGTGTACGTGTAATAATATTATGTGAACGGGTTCGACTTTTTAATCGAACTATTTAAAAACGTCGATTCGAAATATAAAACGGCAAAACAAAAAAATTAGGTGTAGGATTTATAAGAAATTTAAATAAATAATAGTATTAATATACGTATATTATTGGTACCTATAGGTATAGGTATATTATAATATTATGAAGATAATAATATTGTATCGTTGGCGCAATAAGAAGGACCAACGTCAAAAAGTATGTTTGTTTTTATTTTTGTTTAACGACAGTCTATTACGCTGTTCATTTAAATCGAAATGGCTAATTTACTATTACCCGGTGCATTGGGCTGGTCAAATATAAATTCAATTTTACCGAATAGTGACATTATATTATCATATAATATGTACCGTAGGTATTACGCCTCTTCTCGCGCAATTCCAGCATGTCCCAGGTACAATAATGAAGCGTCGATATTGCACTGAATAATCGACTTCATATTTCCTTAATAGATGTGTTACGGGCAAACCTCAGAAATGCCCGGGCGAAACGCAAACTGCCCACAGCCCTCGGGCAAAACGTCATATTTCGGCTTTTGACCAGGCAAGGTAAATATTGTTATTCGGGCGATCAGAGGAAATTTGAACTAAAATTTGAATATGTGCATAACGCAATTAATAATAATATAAGACTAACGGTTTTTGCTATTTTGTCACCATCAAACTTGGATTATTTCCATTCAACCGAATATTAAAAAATTTGAAACACGACGGAAAGCCTATAGACATTTCTGACCAGAAATATAGATATTGGCCATTGGCTCCAATCGGTCTCGTGACCTCGTGTTTACGATTTCAGACGTGAACGTTTAGATTACCTACCAATGGCTACAAGTCTAGACTGCATCCTATAATATTACATAGTATGATTACACCAGTACAAAGGACTAGTATAATAATATTATTAAAAAAACATTATCAAACACACAGTTCAATCTGCCCCAACAGTGTGACGTTATACCAAATCCTTTTAACTTATATACATCATCACTTTTAATTTGTAATTTATATCTCCCGACCATAAATGTTCTTCTGTGGACGTAACTGCGGCCAATTATAATAATGTATACCAGTGGCGTGCACAGCTTTTTTGAATGGGAGGGGATATTCATTTTTGACTTGTCACACACCCATGGGGCTTCGCCTCCCACACCCCCTTCCATTGAATTTATATTTTAATTTACATTACCCCTGTGAAAAACTTAGAAAAGACATTTTAATCTTCTACTTTAAACTTTACACTTTTTATATTTAGGCTTTCAAATTGTAAAATTAATAAGAAAATGTCTTCCTCCAGTAAATACAATATACATTATATACATACAAGTTTAATATATTATTTTAATACATATATTTTCTTATATTTTATAAATAATATTTATATTGAAAACTTCTAGATTTAATTTAGCATAATACTATACTATTACACGATAGTCGATAATATTATGCAATGTAAATATGTTATAAATACCAATATACCAATATACTAATAGTAGTATTTTAATCAACTCTGTCTCTACATTCCGGGAAAAATTGAAATAACAAGTTTATTTTTAGACCAAACATATTGGTGGCATATTTTTGGAGACAATAAACATAATATGACCCACGTGAATATCGAATTGAAAAGAATACAGGAACACTATCTAATCTACGACCGAAATCTTGAATTTTAAACCTAAATTTTTTTCATGTAAACAATAAATCATTGCAAAAAATCTGAAGGGGGGGATATGACACCCTGATCCCCCCCCCCCCGTGAGCACGCCACTGATGTATACTTATTTATTAACTTCGTCATTAAAATATTATAAAATTATCAATTCGTATTTTATTATTTCATTTCGATACCAATACGAACAGGCACAAAAAGTTCATAGCTGATTTTTACTTTTTCCACAAAAATAAGGTTTTTATTGATGTAATATTGTATCACATACTTACCTATATACAGTTTAATAATTGCACGCATAAGAACATAGAATATTTTTTGTGTTTGAAAATTATTAGTGTCACTAGAAGAAAATCACCGGTACACGTTTGTGTTTTATCGTGCGATTTTGCTATGGCCGTAATAACATATCCACCATACAATATTTCTTTCTTCTTTCACAAAAAACTGGCATCGTAAAAAAATCTCTAAAAATCCGAGCCGGTAGGTCTCGCCGATCGGATACGCCAAAGGTGGTGGTGACAATATCGTGAAATAAAACGTTTTTTCGCTCATAGAATTTGTATTTTTTTTTTTATATATATATAATACGTACAGATGTAAAAGTTCGGGTGGTTAATTCGCAATACGTTATCGTAGTGCGATTTCTAGAAACTTCGTTTTTAATTTGCACGAAAATCGGGCTTCGCACAGTTGTATAGTATTATAGGTGTGTGTATTGTTGTACATTATATATTATATTACTGCGTGCAATAATTATATATTAATAAAGATATTAAAAACCACCGAGTGGCTACAAGTGCCTAGGTGACCAAGTGTTATAACAACATCATAATAATATATAGATCGTGTTTCGCAGTTTAGTTTTTGAATTTCTCCAAAGTCGCGGAACGCTTTCACGGTAAATTTATTATCACTACATGATTACACCTCTACACGTCATGTGTGCGATTCATATAATTATTGCGATTTTATCCGAATCGTGTTGATCAGATACATAAAAACTAGTTCGTCAACACGCGTGCATCAGCAAATGTGACTATGATATACTAATATTGTATGTACGGCCGAGGGAAAGTCAACGTTTATAATTTTATATCATATAATTAAACGCATGGACGTGTGTATACGAGAAAATCATAGACTTCAACGCGTTACGCACAATTACTTATAATATATTATCGTCACCCAAATCTCGACTTTTCTAATCCTAAGACTTCCGTAAACTAGATCGCATTATAATATTGTAGTCTCAAATTCATTGTATTGGCAGAGTAAAGGCGAACATAACATTACCTCTTATGTTGTTAATATAATATATTATATAGGTACTAAAATTCACATCGACAGACAAATGTTGTATTGCAGCAAACAGTAAGATAAGTATGCATCTGATTTGTACTGTTTGATTTTTAGTTATAATTGTTACGTCATTGTGTAATAGTGTCATTAAGTCCGTGTGACGAGATTTCAGAAAACTTTAAGAGATTTTTAAAAAAAAAATTGAATAAATAAATCGCCGACAACGCAACGAATTGCTTGATATTTTTTTTTTCATATACAAATTCCTACAGAATAGATCAACAGTTTACTGTCTGTAGGTCATTCGCTTCCGATATACCTATTATGTGTTTGTGACTTGACATTTTAAAGATATTTCATATTCATATAATATTCATTAAGTCGTCGGCCACTACGCCAATAGCAGGTACTGCAGACGACAAAAAAAATAATGATAATCGGTTTCTTGGCGGTCGGCGAGCTATT